ACAGTCTCCAGGTGATTGGCTCAAAGTCACCCAGCTGGCTTTCATGCTTAAGGCAGGACTAGAACTCACAGTCTCCCGGTGATTGGCTCAAAGTCACCCAGCTGGCTTTCATGCTTAAGGCAGGACTAGAACTCACAGTCTCCAGGTGATTGGCTCAAAGTCACCCAGCTGGCTTTCATGCCTAAGGCAGGACTAGAACTCACAATCTCCTGGTGATTGGCTCAAAGTCACAGTTCGGCAGTTCGATCCCGACCGGCTCAAGGAACCTTTGACTAACCGAGCAGATTGGCTTTGTGTGACTTGCAAACTTCTCCCAAAGTTAGATCAAGTCTTTAGCCCATTGCAAAAAAACGCAGCTGCTCATTTTGAACAGATCCCACCGAGACCACCCGATCTATCGATTTCCCCCCTCCCCAAAGTCACGATGGCTGAGTTACTTCAGCGATTCATCTTTGGGGCCTCGAAGAAATGCAGACTACGGCGACGAGCCTTCCCTTCATTTTAAACCGGAACGCTGAAGAGCTGCCAGAAAACTTTATGACGGATGCCCAAAAACAGGTGCGTTGCTTCTGTTCCTCGGGAGGAAGACGGTGACCCCCCCCCCTCCCAAACCCAATGCCCCCCCCCCCCGCCGTTAAAAACAAACAAGGCCCCGTTTCCCATTTTGCTCCCATTGAAAATGAATTAAAGTAAATTAAAACAGCCCGAGCCATGTGGCTGCCGGAGGGATCTATTGTTCTCCGCGAGGCAAATGACAGAATTTCATTTGCTTGGCTAAGAAGTGACAGCTTGAGGGGTGTGAAGCAAGGAGGAGGGAGGGGGTTTGGGGTGGGGGGGGGAGAGGAGAGGAGAGGCATACTCTTAGTAGTGGGGATTTAGGAACTGCCAGATGCCTGGATTTCTCACTCGCCCGGTTCCTGAATCGCTTTGCTAAATATTCACGAAACATGCAGCAGCAACTTCCAGCTATTGCCACGCTGACAATGACTTCTGTGTTTGCTTTCCAAAACAGGCGCGTTCCATTTATTTTTTTAAAAGCAGAAGGGGAAAAAAAAATGCTTTGACACATTTCTCGTGGAGAGTTATGGGGTTCTCGCACCTTCCTCAGTCGAGAAGACGTCAAAGCTTGAAGACTTTGGGGCGAATTTGGTGCAGTGGTTTAGGGGCTAGCCTAGGAACTGGGGGACGGTGAATTCTAGTCCTGCCTTAGGCAGGAAAGCCAGCTAAGTGACTTTGGGCCAATCACCAGGAGATAGGGAGTTCTAGTCCCGCCTTAGCTATGAAAACTAGCTAGATGTCTTTGGGCCAATCACTAGAAGAGGTGAGTTGTATTGCCCACCTCAGGCATGAAAGACAGCTGGGTGACTTTGGGCCAATCACTAGGAGACAGTGAGTTCTAGTCCTGCCTTAGCTTTGAAAACTAGCTAGATGTCTTTGGGCCAATCACTAGGAGATGATGAGTTCTAGTCCCACCTTAGCTTTGAAAACTAGCTAAATGTCTTTGGGCCAATCACTAGGAGACAGTGAGTTCTAGTCCCGCCTTAGCTTTGAAAACTAGCTAGATGTCTTTGGGCCAATCACTAGGAGATGATGAGTTCTAGTCCCACCTTAGCTTTGAAAACTAGCTAAATGTCTTTGGGCCAATCACTAGGAGACAGTGAGTTCTAGTCCTGCCTTAGCTTTGAAAACTAGCTAGATGTCTTTGGGCCAATCACTAGGAGATGATGAGTTCTAGTCCCACCTTAGCTTTGAAAACTAGCTAAATGTCTTTGGGCCAATCACTAGGAGACAGTGAGTTCTAGTCCCGCCTTAGCTTTGAAAACTAGCTAGATGTCTTTGGGCCAATCACTAGGAGACAGTGAGTTCTAGTCCCGCCTTAGCTTTGAAAACTAGCTAGATGTCTTTGGGCCATCACTAGGAGACAGTGAGTTCTAATCCCACCTCAGCTTTGAAAACTAGCTAGATGTCTTTGGGCCAATCACTAGGAGACGGTGAGTTCTAGTCCCGCTTTAGGTATGAAAGCCAGCTTCATGGCCTTGAACCAACTACTCTCTCTCAGCCGAATCCACCTCCTTGTGGAGAAAATGGGAGGAGGAAGGGGTGTTTGGTATGTTCACCACCTTATTTGTAAAAATAATAAAGGCGGAATACAGATAAATACCCTGTTTCCCTGAAAATAAGACTCAACTGGAAAATAGGTCCTAGCATGATTTTTCAGGATGCTCGTAATATAAGCCTTAACCCCAAAATAAGCGCCAGTTAGGATTGTCAGCCAGATAGATGCATTTAGTACCATATTTCCCCCAAAATAAAACCCAACCGGAAAATAAGTCCTAGCATGACTTTTTAGGATGCATAATATAAGCCCTACCCCCAAAATAAGCCCCAGTTAAGACTGTCAGCCAGATGGATGCATTTAGTACCGTATTTCCCCCAAAATAAGACCTAACCAGAAAATAAGCCCTAATGCGTCTTTTGGAGCCAAAAATTAATATAAGACCCAGACTTATTTTTTGGGAAACACGGTATATGTCATATTCTTATGGCTGAACATCCATATTGGGTGGCAGAAGATCCCCCAATTCCAGCTGCCAACAACCTCAAAGAATGCCTCTATGCCACAATTCTCTGATCAACGGGATCAAACTGCTCTGGGGGATCAACGGAGGCACCAGCAGAATTATGCCGAGCTTCAAATTTGTTCGGACAACTTCTACAACTTCTTCGTGCTGCCCAGAAGCTAAGCTCCATCTGCAGACGAAACCCACTGAAGGGATTTACAAAGACACCCAGAGAGAGAGAGAGAGAGAGAGAGAGAGAGAGAGAGAAAGAGAGAGGGACTCACACACAATATGAAACAAGGCCAAACGACTGCAACCGCAAAGCGATCAGAGGCCCAAACCCAGAAGACGCCATTCCGAACAAGCATCTGTGCTGTGAGCTATTAAGAGGGCCCTCGACAGATGCAATCTCGCCAGCCTCCTGATGCGGTTGGAAATACAGATGCAACCTCTTTCTTCTCTTAGACAAGGATTAATGAGAACCTGGGATGGCTTCGTAGACAAGCAAAGCAAGGGCTGTGAACCCCTTCCAGCGTTGCAATTTGTCTTGGGCCGATGATGGCTTATCGGGTGGTTCCCTTTTTTCCCTCTCTCTCCTCACCGGATTATCTGGTGCCCCAGCCCATTAATCTCCTCAGACAAAACCATCATCATCATCATCATCATCAAAGGGGAGAAATATCCTTGGATCGCTGCCAGAGAGAAATTAATAGCCCTTTCCGAGCACCCTGGAGAACAGAAAGGAATCATTCCAGCCACACCTACTTAGCATTTCCTTTCAACCCCATCATAGAAATTTCAGCCCTGGCAGAATAATCAAGCCGAGATTTAATTGAGGCTCCATTTATCTTCATCACCAAAGTTCACCAGCGAAGATGGAAAGCAGAAAAATGAAAAGGAACAAGAGAAAGGGTGGTGCTTGGGTGGTCTTGGCAGGAGAATTGAGGGATCTGGACTCACAGCCCCCCCCTTCTCTCTCTCTCTCTCTCATTTAATTTTTTTCTACTGGGTCCTTAAGTCCATGGAAAAAATCTCATTGTGGTTGTGTTGCCAAACAATGACTAGCAAGCAAGAACGACAAATTGTTCAATGGCTGAGAATGGCTGGTTTGGTTAGGGCAGGGGTGTCAAACTCTGGCCCACGGGGGGTGCTTAGATCTGACCTGTGGGGCCATCCTGGAAACAGCAAAGGACCAGGCCATGGTATCTTTGCCAGTGAAAATGGAGCTTGGGAGGACTGCAGGAGGCCCTCGCAAGCTCCATTTTGCTGGCAAAGGGTTGCAGGAAGCCGTCGCAGCCAAAAACGGAGCTCGGGCACCCATTTTTACTGGCAGAGTGCTCAGGCCCCCAACATGAGCAATGTTAAACTGGCCATGCCCACCATGGCCCCCACAGCCCCACCCCAGATCAAACAGAACCCTGATGTGGCCTTCAATGAAATCGAGTTTGACACAATAGAAAAAGAGAAGGACCAGGGGAGACAGGAGAGCAGTCTTCCAATATTTGAGGGGCTGCCACAGAGAGGAGGGGGCCAAGCTATTCTCCAAAGCACCCGAAGGCCAGACAAGGAAGAATGGATGGAAACTGAACAAGGAGAGATTCAACCTAGAAATAAGGAGAAACTTTCTGACAGTGAGAAAAATCAACGCATGGGACAGAAGTCGCCTTCAGAAGTTGTGGGAGCTTCATCACTGGAAGCTTTCAAGAAGAGACTGGACTGCCATCTGCCAGAAAGGGTGTGGGATCTCCTGCTTGGGTGGGGGGTTGGACTAGATGATCTAAAAGATCCCTTCCAACTCTGTTAATCTGTTATTATTCTGTTATTCAGAAGTTGTGGGAGCTTCATCATTGAAAGCATTCAAGAAGAGATCCCTTCCAACTCCGTTAATCTGAATCTATCTAAAATGATCAAAGATTTGGAGACTAAAACGTGAAGAACAGTTGCAGAAACTGGGCATGACTAGTCTGGTGAAGAGAAGGACCAGGGGAGACAGGATAGCCATCTTCCAATATTTGAGGGGCTGCCTCAGAGAGGAGGGGGTCAAGCTATTTTCCAAGGCACCCGAAGGCCAGACAAGGAATAATGGATGGAAACTGATCAAGGAGAGATTCAACCTGGAAATAAGGAGACATTTTCTGACAGTGAGAGCAATCAACCCATGGAACAGAAGTTGCCTTCAGAAGTTGTGAGAGCTTCATCCCTGGAAGCTTTCAAGAAGAGACTGGACTGCAATTTGTCAGAAATGGAGTAGGGTCTCCTGCTTGGGCGGGGGGTTGGACTAGATGACCTACAAGGTCCCTTCCAACTCTGTTCATCTAAAGTGAATTATGTTTTTGTCTTTCTGGACTGTTCTGGAAGCCTAGAAAGCCCCCTCCCCATTTTAAGACATGTTACATAAGCGCGCCCCACCCTGGTAGAGAAAGATCGCAGAGATGCTACCTTTGATTTAACCGCAAGGATGATTTTGGGCAGCACCAACACCAGGCACTTCAAAGCAATGGTGAGATACTTCAGGACGAAATCTGTGATCCCCACCATCCACATCAGGTCGAAGAAATCCAGCTTCTCCAGATTGGGCTTCAGGAAGATGAGGCTGGAAAAGAGCAGATTGACAGGAGAGGGACTTCACTCAAGTGCAAGAGCGTCTGCCTAGGAGAACAGCATCATTGCATCAAAGACTCCTTGTTCTATTTTGTCTGCAGGTCATCCTCGACTTACGACCACTATTGAGAGGCCAAAATCTCTGTGGCTACGCGAGACAGATTGTTTAGCGGAGTTTTGCCCCCCCAATTTTACAGCCTTTCTTTTCCGCGACTGTTAAGTGAAAACACTGCAGTTGCTAAGTCAGGAACACATTTTTTTTCAGTCAATCTGCCTTCCCCAGATTCCATTTTTACTGGAAAAAGCGACTGAGATGACATCACGTAGGATCGAAGTTCACGTATGAGGGTCCTCCTGGGGTTAGCAGAAAGTCCAAAGCAGGTCCGGAGAGCCTCCTTTGCAGCTGAACCAATGAAAATCTTAAAAGCACAATTTATCAAAGACAAATTCATCAGGAATTTAGGGTGGTCAATAAAACGAGAATATTTGTAGCTCAGGGTTGAAATGAGGGGTCCTTGGGTGCTTTTTTGAGCTCGGTGGGTTTTCTTGCAGATGTTTCATTACTCAGCTAGGCAAAGTCATCAGTGCTAGTGACGATGTGCTAGCATTGATGATGTTACCTAGTTTGGGTGATGAAATGCCTGGAAAAAAAACAGACAAACCCAAGTCATTGTCCTCTTCCTCACAAACCCCTCTCCCTTCTAGCACTGATGATGTTCCCTAGTTGGGTCGTGAAACGTCTTGCAAGAAAACCACCAAGCTCAGCGAGCACCAAGGATCTCACCGTCCCTCCTCCTCTCTACAAAGCCTACTCCTTTCCGAGAAGTGTCAGTCAGAACTGATGATGTTACCTACCCTGTTTTTCCCAAAATAAGACATCCCCATGATAATAAGCCCAATTGGGCTTTTGAGGGCATGGCAATAGGGCCAAGCGCTTATTTCAGGTTTCAAAAAAATATAAGACAGGGTCTTATTTTTGGGGAAACATGGTAGTTTGGGTAATGAAATGCCTGTAAAAAAAACAAAACAAAACAAAAAAACAAAAAAAACAAAACAAACAAACAAACAAACAACCAAGCTCAGAGAGTACCCAAGGACTAATTTAGGATGAATGATAGAACATACAGTAGTGGCTAAAATTGTGGAAACGTTTTGGGAAAAGTGTATTTTTGAGGTTTGATGGCTAATAACACCACTTTTTTGGGGGGGGTGGAGTTTCAAGATCATCCTATTGCACTGCTGGATTGGCCTGGGAATAGCCCAGACCTTAACCCAATGGAAAATCTATGGAGCTGATTAAAGACACTTATTAGTCAGAAGCAACCCAGCAATAAAACCCAGTTAACAGAAGCAATTGTTCAATCTTGATAACAGCTGCAGAACTAAAAGTCTTGGTTCACTCCATGGGAAGACGTTGTAAGGCCATCCTTCATGCTAAAGGCTACCCAACTAAGTACTAACTGACACGGTGATAATTTTTGTATATCTCATTTTTTCTATGTGTTTCACTTTTCTTCTTTATACTGTAACTGCTATTCTAATAGCAAATCCTTCCAGAAAGTTATTGCATTACATTCTTGATTCAATGATCTTTCCATTGATATATAATTTTATGGTACTACTCCCCCCCCAAAAAAGTGGTGTTATTAGCTAGTTTTAGAAAATACAACTTTTCCCAAAAGATTTCCATAATTTTGGCCACTACTGTAGGTAGCTCAGTTGACTTATGTTATGACCACAATTGAGCTTAACAACTTCCAGTCCTTTACAATTCTTCTAAACCTCTAATGTAGTAGTTAACCTGATGTCCATCTAGATATTTTAAGTATCTGTGGGCACCAGACAGCATTGCCAATAGTGGGGGATGATGAAGGTTGTGGTCTGAAGTACTAAACCAGTAAGAGTTCAACTCTGCCAAGCCAAGGAAAGGACCCCTGTTGCTTTTCGTTGTTTATTTAGATTTTGTATAGCATCTAATCTCTTTTTATTATTTATTTATTATTTATTAATCATATTTCTATGCCGCCCACTCTCCGAGGACTCTGGGTGGCTTACAACAATCGACAGTATACTGAATAGCATATTGCCCCCCAACAATCTGGGTCCTCATTTTACCCACCTCGGAAGGATGGAAGGCTGAGTCAACCTTGAGCCGGTGAGATTTGATCTGCTGAACTAGCAGTCAGCTGAAGTAGCTGCAGTACTGCACTCTTAACCACTGCGGCACCTCGGCTCTTTAAAATCCAGGTCTCCTTTCCTAGTTTTTAATTATTACACGCCACTCTCAGAGTCGCAAAAGCAAACAGAAACTACAAGCCGCTTAAGTTAAACCAATAAAACAAAGATAAACGTGTCTGCATTCCTAAATCAAATTAATATTTTCAAATGTTGCAATAGAAAGAATCCCTGCCTGAATATTATGCAATAAAACTTTCCAGCAGAGGCAATTTTATAAGGAAAGGGGAATAAAAGCAAACGAGGGACAAAATCTAAAATTAAGTTAACATAACCATGGATGGAACAGGAGCATTAAAACACAGAGCATTTTTTAATTCTCCAGAAACACAAAAGTCCATTTGTGTCGTTTTCGAGGGCAGCGACTGAACTCTTGTTCTTCTGTGGACAAGGAATTCTACACTTCCTTTGATCTACGTTTCAAATTTGGTTACAGCACAAAAAAAGAGCCGAGGTGGCGCAGTGGTTAGAGGGCAGTACTGCAGGCTACTTCAGCTGACTGCTAGCTGCAGTTCGGCAGTTCAAATCTCACCGGCTCAAGGTTGACTCAGCCTTCTGTCCTTCCGAGGTGGGTAAAATGAGGACCCAAATTGTTGGGGGGCAAGAGGCTGACTCTGTAAACTGCTTAGAGAGGGCTGTAAAATCACTGTGAAGCGGTATATAAGTCTAAGTGCTATTGTTCGTTCTTCCTTCATCCATCCATCCTTCCATCCATCCATCCATCCATCCATCCATCCATCCATCGTACACAATGGTTAAAATGTAGCATTGCAGGCTAACTCTGCTGATTGCCAGCAGTTCGATCCTGACCGGCTCAAGGTTGACTCAGTCTTCCATCCTTCCGAGGCGGGTAAAATGAGGACCCAGATTGTTGGGGGCAAGAGGGTGACTCTGTAAGCAGCTTAGAGAGGGCTGTAAAACCCTGTGAAGTGGTATATAAGTCTAAGTGCTATTGTTAGTCCTTTCCTTCCTTCCTTCCTTCCTTCCTTCCTCCTTCCTTCCTTCCTTCCTTCCTTCCTTCCTTCCATCCATCCATCCATCCATCCATCCATCCTCCATCCATCATACACAGTGCTTAAAATGTAGCATTGCAGGCTAACTCTGCTGATTGCCAACAGTTCGATCCTGACCGCTCAAGGTTGATTCAGTCCTCCATCCTTCCGAGGTGGGTAAAATGAGGACCCAGATTGTTGGGGGCAAGAGGGTGACTCTGTAAGCAGCTTAGAGAGGGCTGTAAAACCCTGTGAAGTGGTATATAAGTCTAAGTGCTATTGTTAGTCCTTTCCTTCCTCCTTCTTCTTCTTCCTTCCTTCCTTCCTTCCTTCCTTCCTTCCTTCCTTCCTTCCTTCCATCCATCCATCCATCCATCCACATCCTCCATCCATCGTACACAGTGCTTAAAATGTAGCATTGCAGGCTAACTCTGCTGATTGCCAACAGTTCGATCCTGACCGGCTCAAGGTTGACTCAGTCCTCCATCCTTCCGAGGTGGGTAAAATGAGGACCCAGATTGTTGGGGGCAAGAGGGTGACTCTGTAAGCAGCTTAGAGAGGGCTGTAAAACCCTGTGAAGTGGTATATAAGTCTAAATGCTATTGTTAGTCCTTTCCTTCCTTCCTTTCCTTCCTTCCTTCCTTCCTTCCATCCATCCATCCATCCATCCATCCACCCTCCACCCATCGTACACAGTGCTTAAAATGCAGCATTGCAGGCTAACTCTGCTGATTGCCAGCAGTTTGATCCTGACCAGCTCAAGGTTGACTCAGCCTTCCATCCTTCAAAGGTGGGTAAAATGAGGACCCAGATTGTTAGGGACAAGAGGCTGACCCTGTAAACTGCTTAGAGGGGGCTGTAAAACCCTGTGAAGTGGTTTATAAGTCTTAAGTGCTATTGCTATTGATCACGAGATGTGATTAAAAAAAGAGAGAGAGAAGAGAGAAGGAAGAACCAAAATCAAAGTACTCACAATATGGCACAGCACTACAGGTAAAATTAAATCCTAAAAAACAAAACGAAACAAGTGAAAATGAGTGGGGCTGGTTTAAAAAAAAAAAGAAAAAATGACAGTAAAAGAAGGAAAACTCAAAACACGATCAAATGAACGAGGTAATGAAAAGATGAAGACAACGGAAGGCAAAGGAGTGAAAGGGGCACGAAACGATTTTATTTCTTTGTAGCAGTTCGGATTTCAATGGGAGATTCGTCTCTTTAATTTTACTTTTCGCTTTTCGGTGGAAGCTCTTTATAAGGCGATGGGATTAAAAATCAGCGCCCATAGATATAGTTTGGGATTAAGTATTCTCATGGCAGATAGGATAGGATAAAGGACAGAACAGGATAATTAATAGAATAGGATGTGATCATTAATAGGATAAGATAAAGGATAGGATAGGATAATGGATAGGATAGGGTAGTGATGGTAAACCTTTTTGGCACTGAGTGCCAAAAAGGGAGCATGTGTGCGTGCACACGTCTGGGCCGCAACCTGGAAGAGTAGCTGCCCAGGGGGCATGTGCGCGCCTCCGAAAATAAACTTCCGGTTTCAGCTACTGAACTTCCGGTTTCAGCTACTGAACTTCCGGTTTCAGCTACTGAACTTCCGGTTTCAGCCAGCTACTCTTCCAGGTTTCTGGCGCGCATGTGCATGTCACGATCAGCTGGCCGGCGTGCATGCAGGAAAACGGAAGCCCAGCTCTTCCAGTTTCAGGCATTGCTGCCGCATGCAAAAAGGCCAGCTGATTGTCGCGTGTGCATGTGCGCCAGAAACCCGGAAGAGGACCGGGTGACGCCGTGCGTGCCAGGCGACATGGCTCCGTGTGCCATTTCGGGCATGCGTGCCATGGGTTCGCCATCACGGGGATAGGGTAATGCATAAGATAGGATAGGATAGGATAGGACAGGATGGGGAAATTAATAGGATGGGATGGGATGATTAATAGGCTAGGCTAGGATAATGAATGGGATGGGATGGGATGGGATAGGACAGGGGTCAGCAACCTTAAACACTCAAAGAGCCGCAAAGGTCCTAACCGGAAGCCCCCTATTCAATTCTGGAGCTGACCAGAAGACCAGTTCCCCCACCATAGAGTCTCTTCCTAGCGTGGTATCCTTTTTCCTCTGCTGACCGGAAGTGCGGTTCCCCCACCATAGAGTCTCCTCCTAGCATGCTGTCCTTTTTCCTCTATCTGTCCTAACCAAAAGTCCTATCAATTGTGGAGCCGACCTGCGACAGGGAGCCGCAGCAGAGGGATGAAAGAGCCACATGCGGCTCCAGAGCCACGGGTTGCTGACCCCTGTTATAGGATAATTTATAGGATAGGGTGGGATAGGATAGGCCAGGCCAGGACAAATAAACTAATCTCTTGCCATTAGATGAAGAGAGAAATTCCTTTTTCTCAGAAGAAGAGGAAGCTGTTGACTCACCTGTTATACAGCTGTTGGGAGTTGAAGGTGTAGAGCAGGTAGAGGGTGTTCCCTGCAAGGAAGACCAAGATCCAGAAAACCATGAAGATGGACCTCTTTTCCTAGAAGGACAGAAAGACCACAACATGTGACAATGCAGCTGAGGGCTATGCTGTCCTTTATCTAATCATTCCCTAGGCAGCATCTCATCTCCCCAAGGTTTTTCCCACATACCGTCAAAGCCCTCTCCTTTACAGCCCAAGATACTAGGGAGGATTCCTTCTGAACCTCTTGCCCTGTCCATTGTCCAGCTGAAGGCTAAGCAGTCCCTGATCTGACTGTTCCCCTGGCATCATCTCTTCGCCCAGTCTCCCAAAGCCTTTCCCACATACCATTATAGCCGCCTCCTTTACAGCTTGAGGAACTAGGGAGGGTCCCTTCGTGAGTCTCTTTCTCCACCCATTAGAAAGCTGAGGGCTATGCTGTCCATTATCTAATAATTCCCTAGGCAGCATCTCATCTCCCTGGCTCCCAAGATTTTTCCCACGTAGCATTACAGCCCTCTCCTTTACATCTCAAGAAACTAGGGAGGGTCCCTTCTGAGAGTTTTTCCTCTGCTTATTATGTAGCTATGGGCTATGTAGTCTCAGTTATGCTATGTTATGCTATGTTATGCTCAGCTATGTTAACTCAGTCAGTTAAAACTGTTCCCTAGACAACATCTCTTTTGTGTGCTTGTGCGTGTGTGGCATATGTGTTAATCTTGCAAGTACAATCTTCTTCCATCTCCTTTACATCTTCAAGAAACTAGGGAGAGTCTCTCCTGAGCTTCTCGCCCTGCCCTCTATGCAGCTGTGGGCTATGCGGTCTCTTATCTCACTGTCCCCCAGGCAGCATCTCTTCACTCTGTCTCCCAAGGTCTTTCCCACCACCTTCTATTATAGGTGGAATAATTTTATGTGCCCTGAGAGAGGCCCATTTCGGCCCCTTGTTTCCTGAATCATGTCCCGCGCTCACCTTTAAAGAGATCTGTTCTCGAAGGGCTGAATTTGCATATGCAAATGTGCTGGCCATGCCCACGCAGAGGGCAATACCTGTAAGGGAAAGAGAAAGAGAGCACTCAATCTGACATCTGATAATTAATAGTTGTTTCATTCTCTGCTTCTAGGTGGGATTCTTTGGTTCCTATGCACCAGGAAGGAATTTCGCCTCGCCCTCTTCATCCGGGTTCAAAGAAGCAAGAGAACCGAATAACCGAATAAAAGAATTGGAAGGGACTTTAAAGGTAAAGGTAAAGTTTCCCTTCCCACATATGTGCTAGTCGTTCCTGACTCTAGGGGGCGGTGCTCATCTCCGTTTCAAAGCCGAAGAGCCAGCGCTGTCCGAAGACGTCTCCGTGGTCATGTGGCTGGCATGACTCAACGCCAAAGGCGCACGGAACGCTGTTACCTTCCCACCAAAGGTGGTCCCTATTTTTCTAGGTTTCTAGAATTCTGGTAGGCCTGTTTTTCGCCCTCCCCAGGCTCTGGAGGCTTTCCTGAAGCCTGGGGAGGCCAAAAACAGCCTCCCCCAGCCTTCCGGAGGCCGGAAATGGCTCGTTTCCGGACTTCCAGGAGGCTTGTTTTTCGTTCTTCCAGAGCCTCAACTCAAGCCTTGTACTTACCTGGCATTCAAAATGGGCCATGTGGAGACTCCTGGAAGGGGCAGCGTGGGCAGGACCAGCTGAAAATCAGCTGGCCGACACACACACACATGCGTGGTAGAGGTAACTTAGGGCAACGGCTCGCATGCCCACAGAGATGGCTTCATTTGGCACCTGTGGCACGCGTGCCATATGTTTGCCATCCCAGGTTTGGGGAGATGGGTCAGAACGGTTTGATTTAAAAAAAAAAAAGGAAATGCACAAATGCATGCAAACGACGTCTGGGAAGAACCGTCTCTTTCTCCCTCTTCTTCCACGAAGCCCCTTACCCAGTTTGTGCTGGAAACAAACTTTCGTCAGCAGGATCACGATGAAGGGGAGGCCATCCTGCAACCAGGAGATGACCGCCTTCATCTCAGGAAGGGCCGGGGCCGGGGTGCCAGGCGGCTCATCGGGGGTCTCTTCAGGATGCCCATGGCGGTCAGCGCCACTCATATGGAGCAGGGAGGAGCCTCTCTGGTGGCTGTGATGGTAATGATGCGGTTGCCGATAGTGATAGAGCCCCGCCTCCGTCCGGCTTGGCCCCTCCTCCCGAGCAGCAGGCATCTGGATAAAGACCTCGCCTCCTCCGGCTGAGGACCCAAGGAGCAAACTGGATTGGAAAGGGGTGGCCGAGATACTGCCTGATGGGATTCCCCCCAGCCCCGAGAAGAGCTGTTGAGGGGAGGGGGCTTCCGTCTTCAGGCTTTCGAAAACACCCCCTTCGTCTACGCTGGTCTCCGAGGTGATGGCTTGGTTCCGGTTTCTGGAAGACAAGAGGGAGGAGAGGGGGTTGGAGAAAAGAGTACAGCTCGTCCTCAACTTACGACCACAATCGAGCCTGAAATTTATGTCGCTAAGTGAGACATTGGTTAAGTGGGTCTTGCCTCTCTTTTCTTGCCACATTTTTTTTAAGTGAATCAATTAATAACATGGTTGTTAAAGTGAAATCTGTCTTCCCCCAGATTTGGTCAGTGCCAAATGAATTTCTGTTAATAAATGAGACAATTGTTAAGTGAGGTTTGGCCCCATTTTACCACCTTTCTTGCCTCCGTTGTTAAGTGAATCACTGCCGTTCATAAGTCAGTAACCCGGTTGTGAAGTGAATCTGGCTTCCCCGTTGTGACACACACACACCCCCGGGACACTGCAACTGTCATAAATGTGAGACAGTTGACAGGCATCCGAATCCAAATCATGTGACCGCGGGGATGGCTACAACGGTCGTAAGTATGAAAAAATGGTTGTAAGTCACTTTCCTCCGTGCCGTTGTTAGCTTCGAATGGTCACTAAATGAACCGTTGTAAGTCAAGGACTACCTGCACGGCTCTGATCATTTTGCCTTCTGCTTCAATTTGAATTGTTACCATTTGGATTGTATGTTGCTTTTATTTATTTATTTATTTATTTATTTATTTATTCAATTTGTATACCGCCCTTCTCCTAGTGGACTCAGGGCGGTGCACAGCCAAAACTAAAATACATAACAATACAAAATTTAAAATTAATTAAAAGAATTATATACTTTGGCCCGAATTAAAACAATGCGAATTAAAACCCATTTACAGATTAAAACTAAACAATTAATAACCATTAAAAACTAAAAAAGGGTTCCCAGGGTTTGGCACGGAAAGCGTTGAGATTGGCCAAGAGTTACAACGAAAAAGAAAATAATAAATAAATAGTCCACTGATGGTGTTTTCATCGCAGCTTAGAAGGAGCGAGAAACACACACAAACGGTTCTTAAAAGCCGTAAAGTACGATTTTACGAAACACAGAGTCTGGCTTGGGAATTCTGGGATTTGAAGTCTTACAGGTTGCCAAATTTGGGAGGAGGGGAATCTATTTATTTTATTTATTTTTTATTTTATTTTATTATATTTCTATATCGCCCTTCTCCTGCGAGACTCAGGGCGGTGTACAGCCAGGATAAAACATAGCATATAAAATTTAAAAACATTTAAAAAAACAATTAAATAATATTGGCCCGAATTTAAAACAACCCAATTAAAACCGAAATTCGATTAAAAACTAAGAGAATGGGATCAAGCCAGATCTACATGCTTTATTCAGATCCAAAAAGCTCCCGAACCAAATTACAAGAGGAAACAATTTTGCAAAAAAACAAAAACAAAAACCAGATACGGAAACAGGGTATCTCTTCACTTTCTCCTAAAAAAAGACAGAATGTATCATTGGTGAGAGGTTTATTTGTCTTCCTTTGCAGTTTCCTAGTTTTTTTTCATCTAGTCTAGTAAAAAGAAGGAATAGAGCAGGGATGGCTAACCTTTTTGCCGTCACGTGCCAAAAGCGCGGGTCAAGCGGGGAGTTGCACACACGCGTGCCCACACCCATAATTCAATGCACCGCACAGCCCCCAATGTGTGCGCAACCTCTTCGCGCTCCCCTCCCCCACTTTTGGCACATGATGGCACGGTGGGCCCGGTAGACCTGTTTTTCGCCCTCCTCAGGCACTAGAGGCTTCCTTGGAGCCTGGGGAGGACGAAAACAGCCTCCACCCCCCCGGAGGCCCTCTGGAGGCTGGAAACGGGCCGTTTCCTGACTTCCATTGGGACCGGAAGGCCCGTTTTTTCGCCCTCCTCAGGCTCCAGAGGCTTCCTTGGAGCCTGGGGAGGACAAAAACAGCCTCCACCCCTCCCCAGACGCCCTCTGGAGGCTGGAAACGGGCCATTTCCCGACTTCCAGTGGGACTGGAAGGCCCATTTTTCACCCTCCTCAGGCTCCAGAGGCTTCCTTGGAGCCTGGGGAGGGCGAAAACAGCCTCCACCCCCCCCCGGAGGCCCTCTGGAGGCTGAAAACGGGCCGTTTCCTGACTTCCCATTGGGACCGGAAGGCCCGTTTTTTGCCCTCCCCAGGCTCCAGAGGCTTCCTTGGAGCCTGGGGAGGGCGAAAACCAGCCTCCACCCCCCCAGAGGCCCTCCGGAGGCTGGAAACAGCCCATTTCCTGACTTCCATTCCAGTGGGACCGGAAGGCCCGTTTTTTGCCCTCCTCAGGCTCTAGAGGCTTCCTTGGAGCCTGGGGAGGGTGAAAGCAGCCTCCACCCCCCGTCCCGGAGGCCCTCTGGAGGCTGGAAACGGGCCATTTCCCGACTTCCAGTGGGACCGGAAGGCCTGTTTTTCGCTCTCCGCAGGCTCACCGGAGCTGAGCTAGGGCAACGCTCGTGTGCCCACCGATATGGCACGCGTGCCATAGGTTCGCCATCATCTAGGGGAAACCTGGCGAGCAATCTTTGCAATATCTCAGGGGCTGTGACAAAGAAGAGGGACGTAACTTGGAACGGTCACAAATCGAATCGTTGTAAGTCGAGCACTATCTCTACCGGCCCGTCCTCTAACGCGAAAGACACATTCAGTGGACAGAAAAGGAACGCCCCACAGGGCAAGGGGTTGAAAAAATAAAATAATACTTTGGCAACGTTTGGTAACATTGCAAAATCTCTCTGGATTGTTCAACCCTTTGGAGATTTCTAAGTTTAGAGCTGCTGCTTGCATTAAGGGAATTCGCCCCACTCTTACCTTCTCCCCAAAGCTCTCCGTGGTTCCAAGCCCTCCTCTCTAGATATCACAAGTATGCAAAACCCTCCCTGGGCGCCACTTCCTATCCTGCGGTTTCTAAACCGAGATTTTTATAGCTAGTCTCCAAGGCCAGGCTGACATCTATACACAACAAGGGTTTTTAGCAACAAGGTAAGAGAAAAATCCTGTCGAAATGGCCCGATACTGGACGAAGGTCAACTAGTTTTAATCCTATTTATTTCACGTGCTTTTTTTTTTTTTTACAAATAAGTGAGCCTGAGCCTGAGTGGCGTAGGAGGCTAATGCCTCCTAAGGCAGCATTTAACATCCAGCTGCCTGAAATTACTGCAGGTTCGAATCTCCCCAGGCTCAAGGTCGACTCAGCCTTCCAGCCTTTCTAAGGTAGGTAAAATGAGGACCCGGATTGTGGGGGCAATAAACTGACTTTGTATAAATATACAAAAGTATGAAGGCTATTGCTTAACGCCTTGTAAGCTGCCCTGAGTCTCCGGAGAAGGGCGGCATATAAATCAAATTTAAAAAAAAATAATCCTATGTTTCTACAGCCTCTTTTATACTTATTTTGCCTGCTTGGTGTTGAACGTTAGAAGCTGGGGGAGCTTCATCACTGGAAGCTTTCAAGAAGAGACTGGACTGACATCTGTCGGAAATGGTGTAGGGTCTCCTGCTTGGGCGGGGGGGTTGGACTAGATGACCTACAAGGTACCTTCCAACTCTGTTCATCTGAATTTATCTAAGATGATCAAAGGTCTGGAGACTAAAACACGAAGAACGGTTGCAGGAACTGGGCATGGCTAGTCTAGGGAAGAGAAGGACAAGGGGAGACAGGAGAGCAGTCTTCCAGTATTTGAGGGGCTGCCACAGAGAGGAAGGGGGTCAAGCTATTCTCCAAAGCACCTGAAGGCCAGACAAGGAATAACGGATGGAAACTGATCAAGGAGAGATTCAATCTGGAAATAAAGAGGAGAAATTTTCTGACTGTGAGAATAATCAATGGAACAGACGTTGCCTTCGGAAGTTGTGGGAGCTTCTTCACTGGAGGCTTCCAAGAAGAGACTGGACTGTCATTTGTCAGAAATGGTGTAGAGTCTCCTGCTTTGGCGGGGGGTTGGACTAGATGACCCACAAGGTCCCTTCCAACTCTAGAGTTTGAAGGAGCTTCTGACCCGAATAAGGAAAGTCACAAGGTTTCATAGAGGTGGCTGTTCAGGTCCCAAATGAACAGGATGGTGCATTTAAGAGTCCCACTGGGTTTAATCCAGGGGTGAAATGCTCCCGGATCAGACCGGATCACCTGATCCGGTAGCGATTTTTGTCTGTGGTTCGGCGATCCGGTAGCGATCGCCGCCCGGGGTGTCATTACTTCCTGGTTTTAACCAGGCAGTAATGCCTTTTTATCTTCTGCGCATGTGCAGGTTTTGCGAACTGGTAAGGAAGGTAAATAGATTTAATCCACAAATAGGGTGGTCTCCATGAACCTGTCCAGAAATATGCTCAGAGCGGTTGGAGAAACTGGTGGAGGCCAACAGCCAATGGGATTCCTGAAAGTGGTGCTTTCAGACAAGTGAATAGTTAGTAAAATAATAACCTTTTCTCCAAAGCACCGGAAGGCAAGATAGGAAACAATGGATGGAAACTAATCAAGGAGAGAAGCAACCTGGAATTAAGGAGAAACCTCTTAACAGGGAGGACAATTAAACATTGCAGCAACTTGCCTTCAGTTTTTAAGGAGGTTTTTAAGAAAGAGATTGGACTACCAGTCTGAATTATTATTATTATTTTTTTAATTTGATTTATATGCCGCCCTTCTCCGGAGACTCAGGGCGGCTTACAATGTGCTCAGCAATAGCCTTCATACTTTTGTATATTTTATAGGCTGAGTCAACCTTGAGCCTTGGCGAGATTTGAACCTGCAGTAATTGCAGGCAGCTGGTCTTAATAACCAGCTTAATAACAGGGTGCCTTAGACCACTGTACCATCAAGGCTCTTTTTGAAATGGTGTAGGGTCTCCTGTGTGAGCAGGGGGTTGGACTAGATGACCTCCAAGGTCCCTTCCAACCCTATTATTCTATGTTTATTTATTTATTTATTTATTGGTTCGATTTATATGCCGCCCTTCTCCGGAGACTCAGGGCGGCTTACAATGCGTTAAGCAATAGCCTTCATTCTTTTGTATATACCTGCTTAGTAGGGCTTCGGCCCCCCCCCTTAAGCGGTGTTCTTTTTTTTATACAAAGTCAGCTTATTGCCCCCACAATCCGGGTCCTCATTGTTCGACTTGATAGAGGTACTTTTCAGCAACCATCTTGTCGAATGAGTTGGTATTCAGGGGAGTGTCTTGCAAATTAGTCTGAAATGGTATAAGGCAGTGGTGGGTTTCAAATTTTTTTACTACCAGTTCTGTGGGCGTGGCTTGGTGGGCATAGTATGGCTTGGTGGGCGTGGCAGGGGAAGGTTACTGCAAAATCCCCATTTCCTCCCGATCAGCTGGGACTCGGGAGGCAGAGAATAGATGGGGGCGGGGCCAGCCAGAATTTTTACTACCGGTTCTCCAAACTACTCAAAATTTCCGCTACCGGTTCTCCGGAACTGGTCAGAACCTGCTGAAACCCACCTCTGGTATAAGGTCTCCTACTTGAGCAGAGGGTTGGGCTAGAAGACCTCCAAGGTCCCTTCCAATTCTGTTATTCTGCTATTAAAACAATCTGTGCTTCTTATTACTTTGAATGACAGTCCTTGATGTATTATTGTAACATTAATAGCAATAGTCCTTAGACATATACTGCTTTACTTACAGTATATACCGCTTATAAACCTCCAAGCGGTTTACAGAGTCAGCCTCTTGCCCCCAACAATCTGGGTCCTCATTTTACCCACCTCAGAAGGACGGAAGGCTGAGTCAACCTTGAGCCTGGTGAGATTTGAACTGCCAAATTGCAGGCAGCAGAAGTAACCTGCAGTACTGCACTCTAACTACTGCGCCATGATGGCTAGAATGTAGGACTCAGATAGACAGACAGACAGACAGACAGATAGATAGATAGATAGATAGATAGATAGATAGATAGATAGCACTTAGACTTATATACCGCTTCACGGTGCTTTCCAGCCCTCTCTAAGCGGTTTACAGAGTCAGCCTCTTGCCCCCCAACAATCTGGATCCTCATTTTACCCACCTCGGAAGGACGGAAGGCTGAGTCAACCTTGAGCCTGGTGAAATTTGAACTGCTAAATTGCAGGCAGCCGGCAGGCAGCAGAAGTAGCCTGCAGTACCGCACTCTAACCACTGCGACACCGTGGCGCATTAACGTGTGATATAGTTTAATCCAGGCATTTCCAAACTTGGCCATTTGAAGGCTTTGTGGACTTCAACTCCCAGAATTCCCCCAGCCAGCAGGTTTGGTATTGGATGAGCTGGTGTAAGGCCTGGTTTGCCTGCTGCAACAGGTGTGCCTTGGGGCATCACTCACCTGTACGAACGATGGCGTCCTTACCTTTCAGGTGGAAGGCTGTCTGTGATGCTGCTATGCCGTCGCTGCATCTTTCTTAGCACTTTGAAACACAACACGCTCCACATCAACGTGGGAGGTCAAGGACGCCTGGGGTAAGAGAGGATGATGGGCTTCCAAGGATGGGGCTGGGCCCCCAAAGACATAGCACAGGGAGTCCCACCTGCAACGAAGAGCAGCCAAAGGGTCGCAGCGTGACTCAAGAGATAAAAATCAAACTTCCCAAACTATGAACGTTTCCACTACATGACAAGAGCCTTGGTGGCACAGTGGACTAAACTGCTGCTGTTAAAGTAGCACTTAGCTGCCAGCTGCCTGCAATTACTGTGAGTTCAATTCTCACCAGGCTCAAGGTTGACTCAGCCTTCCATCCTTTCGAGGTAGGTAAAATGAGGACCTGGATTGTGGGGGCAATAAGCTGACTTTGTATAAAAAGAACACTGCTTAGGGGGGGGCCCAGAAAGCCCTACTAAGCAGGTATATACAAAAGTATGAAGGCTATTGCTTAAAAGCATTGTAAGCCACCCTGAGTCTCCGGAAAAGGATGGAATATATAAATCGAACTAATCAATCAATAAATAAATTTGGCAGACATTAAGATTTTTATCCTGCCTTTATTATTTCATAAGTCAGGGTGGCAGGCATTGATAATATTCCCTCTTCTTCCTATTTCCCCCCACATCAATAATTCTGTGATGAGAGTTGGGGGGAGAGAGAGGAGCTGGCCCAAAGTCACCCAGCTGGCTTTTATGGCTAAAGTGGAACTAGAACTCACCATCACCTGGTGATTGACCTAAAGTCATCCAGGCAGTTTTCATGGCTAAAAGTGGGACTAGAACTCCCAGTCTCCCTCCTGGTGACTGGCCCAAAAAATTTGTCTCCAGGGTTGCATTCTGGCAAAGCTTTAGCTCACTCCAGGTCAGGAACCCCTCGACATCAGACAGAGGTGTGGGGGTGGGGGGTAGATGTAAGAATGCCAGGGAATATGTGGGGTGCGGGGGGGGGAGGGACAAGGGGGGGGGTAGGAGGGCACTTCTCTTTTGGTCTAGCCTAGAATTTCAGTGACATGGAAAGGCAGGGAATTCCAAGGTGAGGCTCCATTGAGGAGGGGGACGGGGGATGGAAAGGGGGCAGGCCAAGATCGCCGCTTCGCTTCCAGCATCCCAGCATCCCCCCACCCCCAAAACCCGGCGCTCTTCCTCCGGATTTTCCTTTTTTGATCCCCCCCTTTTTCCCACCCACCCACCCAAGAGAATCGCAAGAGAGCGAAACAAGAGACAGGGCTTCGCGCCGCCAGTCGTGGAGCGGGAGGGGGGTTAGCTATTTTTACCTGGTTTCCCCGGGAGCCGGCCGGTCTGACCCTCCCCCAGCTTTTCTCTTTTTTCTTCCCCTCCCCCCACCTTTCGCCAGCCGTGCATGTGACTTCCGACTCCGCCCTTCCCCGGGCATTTGCTTGCGGAGACCCGGAGCTACCCATCGCTGTTTTCTCTGGCATTTTTGCGCAGGGCGAAAGCAAGGAAAGCGAGGAAAGGAGGGGCGCGCGGGGTGGTTTGGGGTGGGGACCGCAGGGTTGCTTCTCCCCCTCTCCCCCCCTCTCTCTTTTTCCCTCCCCCACCCCTCTCCCTCCTCCTTCCTTCTTAATCGGGCCTCTCGCCCTGCTTAATTCGGATCGGCCTCTCCTTAAACCGGATCAGCTCCTCTTCCCCTTCTTCCTGCGCTCCCGTTTCCAGCGGCGTTTCTTGTCTCTCTCCTTGTCCCCCCCACTTTCTTGGGCTGGGGGCTTGGGAGAGAGACGGAGGAGGGGGGGGGGCTGCTGTTTCCTGGGCATTAGTGGGGGGGGGTTCTTCTTGCTTGCAACTCCCACCGCCTTTGACCCCTTTTCTCTTGTCTTCAGCCCCCCCCCTTCCTTAAGGGTCTCTCCAACCGGGGTGGGGTAGGGGGCTCCCAGGGGCTGACTGCCCTGGGAATGGGGTGGGGGACGCCCTTTCCCCCCTCTCAGCCCCCGAGGCCGAGGAAGGAGCCGATCCACCGCTTTCTAGCCCCGGCGGCCGGGAGACGCGCGTTCGCTGGCTCGGAGCCTCTTTCCCGATGGTGCAGCTGGTAGCGCTGGTTTGGCGAAGGTTGTTGCGGAAGCGATGGGTGCTGGGCATCGTCTTCGGGCTGTCCCTCATCTACTTCCTTAACAGCACCTTCAAGCAGGTCAGTAGCGCTTGCCTGCCTTGGAAGTCCCGTGGGGGGTGGGGGGGGGGGGGGGGCTCTTTTCTTCTTCTTCTCAACAGCCCTGCGAGGGAGGCCGGTGGGCAGACTGGCAGAAGGCGATAGGCGGAGAGGGCTTTGGGAGGCTGAAAGCAGGGGCCTTGGTAGGACAGGGGTCTAAGGCACCCTGTTATTAAGCTGGTTATTAAGACCAGCTGCCTGCAATTACTGCAGGTTCGAATCTCGCCAAGGCTCAAGGTTGACTCAGCCTTCCATCCTTTCTAAGGTAGGTAAATGGAGGAGCCAGTTTGTGGGGGCAATAAGCTGACTTTGTATAAATATACAAAAGGATGAAGGCTATTGCTGAGGGCATTGTAAGCCGCCCTGAGTCTCCGGAGAAGGGCGGCATATAAATCAAATTAAAAATAAATAAATAAATGCTCCCGGTTCGGACCGGATCGCCTGATCCGGTAGCGATGGTGGCGTGTGGTTCAGAGAACGGGTAGCAAAAATCCCTGCGCCCACCCTCCATGCAAAAAAAATGCTTTGAAAACCCTCTGAGGATCCCAGCTGAGCCACAGGATCATCAGAGGCTTTTTTTTTTTTTTACTTTTAAAAGCATTTTTTTTACAACCTCTTCCGACCAAAAAATGCTCTTAAAAGTTAAAAAAAAAAAAAAAGCCTCTGATGATCCTGTGGCTCAGCTGGGATCGTCAGAGGCTTTTCAAAGCATTTTTTTTCTGCAACCTCTTGGCCGAAGAGGTGACAAAAAAAATGCTTTGAAAAGTCTCTGACGATCCCAGCCGAGTTGCCTGATCAGCAGAGGATTTTCAAAGCGTTAGAAAAAATGCTTTGAAAAGTTTTTTAAAAAGTTGGCCACGCCCACACAGTCACATTACCCCCACCACCACCAAGCCACGCCCACAGAACCAGTAGTAACGCATTTTATATTTCACCCCTGGTTGAAAGGTCCTGGAATGGGGGTCCTTAACGGATCCTGTTTGATCCCGAGAGCAAGTCTGGCCTAAGGGCTTAAGGCCCCAGGCTAGAAACTGGGAGACTGTGAGTTCTAGTTCTGCTTAAGCAGGCTGGGTGGCTTTGGTCCAATCTCTAGGTGATGGTGAGTTCTAGTTCCGCCTTAGGCCTCGAGACAAGTCATCAAGAGGTTGTGAGTTCCAGTTCCATCAAGGGGTGAAATCCATCCAGCAGGTTCTGGCAGGTTCTGCAGAACCGGTAGCGGAAATTTTGAGTAGTTCGGAGAACCGGCAGATACCACCTCTGGCTGGCCCCAGAGTGGGATGGGAATGGGGATTTTGCAGTATCCTTCCCCCAGGAGTGGGGTGGGAATGGAGATTTTGCAGTATCTTTCCCCTGTCACGCCCACCAAGCCACGCCCACAGAACTATAGTAAAAAAAAAAATTGGATTTCACCACTGAGTTCCATCTTAGTCTTGAAAGCTGGCTGGGTGAATCCTAGAGCTGGAAGGGACTTTGGAAGTCCTCTACTCCCACCCCCTGCTCAAGCAGGAAGACCCTCTCTACCCTTTCAAACAATCTCTTCTTGAAAATCTCCAGTGATGAAAATCTCACAATTTCTGGAGGAAAGCTGTTCCACTGATTAATTGTCCTTATTGTCGGGAAATTTCTCCTTCGTTCCAAGTTGGATCTTTTCTTTAATCAGCTTCCACCCATTGCTTCATGTCCTGCCTTGAGGTGCTTTGGAGGTAGATATTGGAGGTTTCTTGGCAACGTTTCGACGAAGTCTCATTCGTCATCTTCAGGCTGGTGTCTTCGGCTTCGTGCTTCTAGGAGCAATGTGCTCTATTGCTCCTAGAAGCAATCGGCTCCTAGAAGCAATGGGCTCCATTGCTCCTAGAAGCACAAAGCCGAAGACACCAGCCTGAAGATGACGAATGAGACTTCGTTGAAACGTTGCCAAGAAACCTCCAATTTTACGCGGGAGAAAACCCGAACAACCAAAGACCTACCTACACTGTGAATATACACACACACACAGACATACACACACACACACACGCACACCCCTTTAAGAATGTCCTGGTCCAGATCAATTTAACTTTGAAAAAGGGATGATCGATTGCCAACATTTCATCCAGAAACTAACAAGCTACTTTCTGAATTTATTTCAAGTTGAATTCAAAGGTGTCACTCCCAAAAAAAAAATCCGGCATTAGCAGGGCATTTTAGAACAATGCAAGTAGTCCTCGGTTTACAATGGTTCATTTAGTGACCGTCCAAAGTTACAAGGGCACTGGAAAAAAGTGACCGACGACTGTTTTTTTCAGGCTTACGATGGTTGCAGCATCCCATTGGCCCCGTGGTCAAAATTCCAATGGTCGGCAAATTTGGTTCATATTTATGACGGTTGCAAAGTCCCCGTGGTCACGTGATCCCTTTTTGTAACCTCCTGACCCGCAAAGTCAATGGGGAATCCAGATTCACTTAACAACTATGTTACTACCGTGTTTCCCCGAAAATAAGACCTCCCCCGAAAATAAGCCCTCCTCTGAAAATAAGCCCTCCCCGACAGTAGTGGGTTGCCCCCGTTTCGGACCGGTTCTATAGAACCGGTAGTAAAACCGGTGGGAGGCTCCGCCCACCGACCCCGACGTCATCAGGATGCACGTATGCACATGTACGGCCCCCTTGCGAACCGGTAGGAAAGGTAAGTAGAACCCACCCCTGCTCCCTGAAAATATTTAAATGCATGCACAGCTGGTCCCCGCCATTTCCTCTGGTTAAGGTTAGGGAGACAGAGCTGGAAATCAGGTAAGACGGCAAGAGGAGCCCCGTCTTGCTCCACGTGCCCCAAAATAATAAGACCTCCCCGAAAATAAGGCCAAGCGCTTATTTCGGGGTTCAAAAAGAAATATAAGACAGGGTCTTATTTTCGGGGAAACAGGGTAACTTAACAAATGCAGTGATGCCCTTAAAGGTGGTGAGAAAAGTCGTAAAATTGGGCAAAACCCGCTTAACAAAACGTTTCACTTTAGCGACATCAATTTGGGGCTCCGTTGTGGTCGTAACTCGAGGACTACCGGTACACAAAGACAACGGACTCTTTCATTCTACTCCACAAAACAAAATCCCAACATCTCCTTTTCGGGTTTCACATGTCTCGTTTTTGCCTTTAGGAAGAGAGAGTGCTGCGGGATCGGAATTTCCCCCAAGCTCAAGACGAAAATCGCCCCATCGCCTGGAAAGTCCATTTCAGCTTGGGGAATAGCAGCCAGCCGAACAATCAATGTCGGAATTCTGTCCAAGGAAAATTGTTGATCACGGATGAGTTGGGTAAGATTTTCACGAATGAAGGCGAATATACATGTCCCAGGATAATGTTGGCCCTTCTTTCTTCCTTCCCCATTTCTTTTTTCCCCTTGGTTTTTTTTTTTTTAAATTAATAATTAATTGATAATCCCCCAAATTGAAAACGCACGACGGCCAATAAAAATGACCGTGCCTCTGAACCAGGGGTGAAATCCAGCAGGTTCTGACGAACCGGTAGCGGAAATTTTGAGTAGTTCGGAGAACAGAAAATGTCACCTCTGGCTGACCCCAGAGTGGGGTGGGAATGGAGATTTTGCAATATCCTTTCCCCAGGAGTGGGGAGGTAATGGGGATTTTGCAATATCCTTTGCCTGGAGTGGGGTGGGAATGGAGATTTTTCAGTATCCTTCCCCTGCCACGCCCACCAAGCCATGCCCACAGAACCGGTAGTAAATCAATTTGGATTTCACCACTGCTCTGAATCTTTGCCAAAAACTCAAATAACCGATTCCTTTGGAATTTCTGAAAGCGGTTTCCAAGGTTGGGTGGAATCAGTTTTCAGCCCGATATTTTGGCTTCTGTGCTGTGGCACGGAGCCTTCCGTTCTCCTTCTGCTCAGCCTCACCTGGAGGGTCTTTTGCGACAGGCTACATCTGCGAAAGGAAGGACGTGCTGGTGAACGGGTGCTGCAACGTGGAGGCGCCCGGTGTCAAGTTGTACAGCTGCGACAGCTGCCTGCCCAGCGGATGTTGCAGTGTCTATGAGGCCTGTGTGTCCTGCTGCTTACAGCCCAACAAGGTAAACGGATGTAAGGGGATGTGCGAAGGACCTTGGGAGAGGAAGGAAAAAGTTGCAATTGGCAAGAACGTCATAAATTAAGGTCATAGAACCTTCAGGGTTCTATAAATGTGGTGCGCTTGCCAGGTGCCCAAAATTCAGTCACATGACCATGGAGGAAGCCAGGACATCAGAGCTTTGAAAGCAGGACATAAATCCTACCTATACAGCCATACCTCGGTACACAACTGCTTTAAAACTCGTCGCATTTTGACGTGAAAATTTTGTCCTGCTACTCGTCATTTGTTTGGTACTTGATACTAGAAGAACCAAACCCTAGAACAGTGATGGCGAACCTTTTTGGCACTGAGTGCCGAAATGGGAGCGCGTGTGTGTGGGGGAGCGCTGGAAACCAGAAGAGCAGCTCCTCGGTGCACATGTGTGGGAGCGCCAGAAACCAGAAGCTCAGCTTCCCAGCGTGCGCATGTGTGCCAGGGAGCTGCTCTTCTAGTTTCCAGAGCTCCCACACGTGCGAAGACCAGCTGGGCAGTGCGCATGTGCTTGCCGAAATCCGGAACAGCAATGGGTGACGGCTGGTGCGCCTGGAGAGATGGCCTTGCGTGCCACTTCCAGCACATGTGCCATAAGTTCGCCATCAAGGCCCTAGAACCGTGATGCGGAACCTATGGCATGCGTGCCACGGGTGGCACGCAGAGCCCTCTGGGCACGTGAGCCATCGCCCCAGCTCAGCTCCACCGGGCATGTGTGCATGCCTCCCGCCGGCCAGCTGATTTTCGGGTCTGTTGTCCATGTGTGGGTGGCGGTGCACATGCAGAGAGGTCGCATGAGCATTGCATTAGGGGTTATAAGTGCAGGGAAGCCTACTAGACCCAAAATGGGGCACGGGGGTGCAGTGCAGCATCTCCCCCTCCATAGTCCGTTTTTGCTCCCAGTAGGCTGCAGGGAGGCCTACTAGGCCCAAAACGGGGCGCAGAGGGAACCATGTATGCATGTGCAGGGAGCCTGGGGTGTGTGTGTGTGTTGCGCACGCATTGCATTATGGCACACAACAACAAAAAGGTTCGCCACCACTGCCCTAGAACTTGTCAGTACCGGCTGCCTGGTGATTCGCGACCCTTTCTGGCCATAACAAAAGGTCATTGGTTAAGTCACATGGATTGCTTGGTCCTTGTTTTTAGTAGTTGCAGTTGTCCCGCTTCCCAGAAACAATTAATGGCGAGTATCGGGGTACCACTGCAATTCCTGGGAGACGATTGGCTGATTCATGTCGTAGGGAGAGGAGCTAAATGAAACCCTTCTCCATTGGGCACTTCTGGTTTTCGTGAGCTTCCTGATTATTATTATTTTTTTCCCCGTCTTCTTGCCTTTATAGCAACAGCTCCTTGAGCATTTTCTAAACCGAGCAGCGGTGGCCTTTCGGAATCTCTTCATGGCTGTGGAAGATCACTTTGAGCTCTGCCTGGCCAAGTGCAGGACCTCCTCCCAGGTAATAAGGGAAGGGAAATTGTGCGGGGGCTCCATCACTGGAGGCTTTTCAAGAAGAGATCGGACAGCCCTTTGTCCGGAATGGTATAGAGCAGATCTGGGCATTTTAGGGCCATTGGGCCACATCTGGTCCTTTGACTGACCCTGTTTTGCTCATGTGAGGACAATCAGAAATTAGAAATCAAATGTAAATTAAGGACATGCCGTGCGATTCCACATTATCATAGCTTTAATGGTAATACGTATTCTTGCCGGTTGCAGCTTATTGAAATCTCCTCCTCCCCCTCCTCCTCCTCCTCCTCCTCCTCCTCCTCCTCCTCCTCCTCCTTTCTCTTCTTCTTCTTCTTCTTTCTCCTCCTCCCCTTCTCCTTCTTCCTTCTCTCCTTCTCCTCCTCCTTCCTCTTCCTCCTCTTCTTCCTCTTCCTCTTCTCTTCCTCTTCCTCCTCCTCCTCCTCCTCCTCCTCCTCCTCCTCCTTTCTCTTCTTCTTCTTCTTCTTTCTCCTCCTCCCCTTCTCCTTCTCCTTCTCCTCCTTCTCCTCCTCCTTCCTCTCCTCCTCTTCTTCCTCTTCCTCTCCTCTTCCTCCTTCTCCTCCACCCCCTCTTCCTCCTCCTCCTTCTTCTCCTTCTTCCTCTTCCTCCTCCTCTTCCTCTTCCTCCTTTGTCTCCTCTACCATCTCCTCCTCCTCCTCCTGTTTCCCAGACCAACTGGACTGTTTTTTTTCCTTGAGAAACAAGAAGAAAATGTTTTGCTTCTCATCCAAGAAGCTTCATCGCTTTTGGCAGGACAGGGGGGGAGGACTATGGAGGGATGTTTCCCAGAACTTAAAAAATGCCCCATCCCCCTTTTGCCTGAGTAATAGTTCTTGCATGCTTCTTTCACCGTCACCTTCCCATCTACAGAGACCGAACAAGGGAGCTTCGCCTTCTCCGTGGCGTTTCCTAGTTCCTCCGGTTCCTCTTGACTGGTGCAAAACTTTCTTCTCTTGTCTTTTTCTCTCCTTCCCCAGAGCGTGCAACATGAAAACACCTACCGCAACCCCATTGCCAAATACTGCTATGGGGAATTCCCCCCAGATCTTCTGTCGGTGTGAAAGTGCTGGAGAAACTGACTAGGACTTAAAATGAGACTTGAAGCATTGGCAGAGAGTGAGAATTTGGTAACCGGCTGGTTGAGTCCCTTCGGCAATCCCCAACTTCACCTTCTGAATTGTTTAGCCTGCTGCCCTGTCTCTGCAGCTGCGATGTGGAGCAAAACGGGTGGAAATCGACGAATAGCTGGATTCAAAGGTTCGCATCATGGGCTCAGCTGAAATTCGGACCTAAGACTTTCAAGTTCCTCCTCAATCTCAGTCACGTGGGACCCCTGGTAGATGGAGAAAGCCATCGGAATAGCCAAGAGCACAGACAGGCGTTCTTGATGGGAACAGCTGAAAGATTTATTCAAGCGATGAGAAGATACTTGATGAGTGGTGCGGCGGCCTAGAGGTGGAGCTCTCGCCTCACATTCAAGGAGGCTGTGAGTTCGATCCTAGGTAGAGGCAGATATTTTTCTCTCTCTGGACAGACTGGGAATATATCTGCCGAACAAAACTCCGCATTGGCGACAGGAAGGGTATCCGGCCATTCAAACACTCTGCTAGCTCCATTCAGTTGCCCAGATTCCACCCCGCAAGGGATTACACGGTCGTTAAAAGACAATGATGAATGAGAAGATACTTGTATTAGACCGATAGGTTTTTGTGAATCCTGCACTATACTTCTGTTGACTCCCCTCTAAGGTAAACACAGCAAAGCACTAATATGGTTGGCTGGGGAATTTTGTGAATTGAAGTCCGCAAGTTGTAAAGTTGCCAGGGTTGGAGATCCCTGGCTTAGCTGAACCTTCTGGAGCTTGGTCTTTCCAGATGTGTTGAGGTGCAGCATCTTCCATGACCAACTTCTGGGTTCTTTCATCTCCACAATCTTTGCAAGGTTTCAGTCTGGGAAAAAGGATAGAAGGGGACTTGAGGATGGTTCTTGATTTAGAATATCCCAGAACAGAGTTCTGGATTCATCAGAGAAAAGAAGGAGGCGCATTCTCTCCTTAGATAGAAATTTGAACTGGTTGCCTTGATCTCTGGCCTCCCATTTCTAAGATTGGTTGTCAATTCCCTGAAAGAAGCATCCGTTTTTAGTAACTGGGTGATGAGCTTGTCGATCGAAAGGTCGGCAGTTCAGCGGTTCGAATCCCTAGTGCCGCGTAACCGGGTGAGCTCCCGTTCCTGGTCCCAGCTTCTGCCAACCTAGTAGTTCGAAAGCAGGTAAAAAAAATGCAAGTAGAAAAATAGGGACCACCTTTGGTGGGAAGGGAACAGCGTTCCATGCGCCTTTGGCATTGAGTCATGCCGGCCACATGACCACGGAGACTCTTCGGACAGTGCTGGCTCTTCGGCTTTGAAACGGAGATGAGCACTGCCCCCTAGAGTCGGGAACGACTAGCACAGATGTGCGAGGGGAACCTTTACCTTTTATGCATGTTGTACTCTCTTCCGATTTTCCCAAGCGGATGTCCTCTCTGTTGGGTCACAGTTCTCATCATTCTCAATAGGTTATGGCCATAAAATGGCAACGGGGTGACCGCAGAGGCTGCGGAAGGCAGATGGGAGAAGATTGCAAGAATTCTTTTGACGTCTGAGAAACACCAAAACTTAATTATCAGCGAGCTGGATTTCAAGACAGGGAGACCTGCTTTTTTGTCTTCCTATTTTTCTGACTTTCGACATCGCTTGGAATATCGGAGAAATCGAACCGTCTAGTTACGGGCAATGGGTCTCTAGGGGAAAGAGCTTTTAAAAAGATTAGATAGATTTGTGGAAAGAGAAGACTAGGTTATTAATCATCATAGCATTTTAGTTTGAAGTGGAAAGAGGGGTGTAAACTGTTAGCTTTGCGCTTCTCTGTCTGCTTTATCACTAAAAAAAAGAAGGCGCTGTATCGAACCTGATGGACCAAAGAACACCTCTTAAACGAAACAATAGACGGAATTATTAAGATTAAGGGAAAATGTGGTTTCTATCATGTTTCTAGGTTGTAAATTGTAGGATAAGGTAGTCTTCAACTTTACGACTGTATTTGGACCTAGAGTTATCCTGTAAGTCATTGCAGTCGTTAAGCAGTTCGCCATCTGACTGCTCTCGATTTTAGCAGTGGTTGTTAAGCAGATCCATTTTATTCAATGGGAAACTGGAAAGTAAATGCCGGAAAACGCACAAAAAGCTTTTGAAAATTGCAGCCGTGTGACAGCCACGAATGACTGTAAATATGAGCCAATTGCCAAGCACCCAAAAATATGATCCCATGACTGCAAGGGGTGGGGTGGGGTCTTCAGAACTTTAAAAAAATTGGATTCCAAGTACCTTTCAGAGAACCTGTCGTAACTTGAAACAGTTGCTAGGCAACCGGTTGTTAAGCGAGGACTACCTGTACGGGCATAAACGTCAAAGGACTTAACGGGACTTGAAGGCTGAGCTGAACTCATCATGGCATCTAGCAGAATTTAGTTTGAATGTAACTCCTTCTCGTGTATTTAGAAGTAAATGGACACTCCAAGGTTTCCCTGTCATTTCCCTGCCCTTGTTAACTATTCTGAACATTGTTTTGTGAATTTTTGCATTGGCCTAATAAAGGTATTGCCCTGACAGGTATACATCTAATTCTCCCAGCGTTTTTCTCGTGAATTTTCAGTTTGTAGCAAGGCGAGCATCATAACTAACATTTCCCCCCATAGCTTCCTCCTGACTTTATGGGACAAATTTGAATGATTCCTGACTTTCTGCTGCCCCCTAGTGGAGATACATGAACACAACTTGATGCTTTACAACAAGGTCTCCAAACTTGGTGTTGTGACCTAGGCCCAATTGGTTATTACAATCAGTCCTAAACAAATATATTTTATTAGAATAGCTGAGAATTACTTCATTCTCAGCTTAGTCCAAATTAAGTCCAAAACAAATTCTTCGTAAACAATCCTTCGGCCTTATCACCAACCTTTGTCTACTTTGGCACCCTGCCAAAGGCTTTCCTTGGCAAAAGTTCAGAAGCAAGAGATGCCGACAAGAAACAAATGTAGCAACGTTGCTTTCCTACAAAGATCCCAGGAGCTGTTGCTGCTCTTTTAAGCCTTATGGGAGGGGCCAATCATCTCCTGGCCTTACTCCTGAGTTGTCCTCTTTGCTTTAGCTGCTCTTGCCTTCTGGCAGCTCTTCGCATGCGTGCACTAGGAACAGGCTCCTCCTGTTCCTCTGCCTCTCTGCTGTCTGCCTCTGGAGGCTCCGGAGTCCGTTCATTGCTCCCAGATGGCCCTGGCCCCATCTCTGCCTCTGACGCAGAGCCCTCGTCTGGGCCTTCCCCTGTCTCCAGGATTGGTCCATTCTCCTCCCCAGCCTCCTCACTGTCCGACTCCGCTGCCAGCTCCACAGGCTGCTGGCGGACCACAACACTTGGATCTTTCTGAACCCAAAGTTGCACCATCCATCTTCACCCAAGATGAAGGCCATCGACAAACTCACCCCAAAGGCCTTCACATTTGATTATGTTTATAATGGCCAGTTAAACCTTCAATGCTGTATTTTATTTGCCCATTAAGGTCTCCAATGCTTTTCTGCAAGCCCATCCTACTGGCAGATAATAAGGTTCATGCAATGCGGAGGTGTGATCTTGAGCTGGGTGTGATTTCATTTCATCCTAGGGAACTCAAACCACCTTCAAAAGAGTTTCTCTTTTTGAGAAAAGGTGGCTTAAAAGTCAATTAGAGCCTTGGTGGTGCAGCAGACTAAAGTGCAAGTTAAGTAACACCAGCTGCCTGCAATTACTGCAGGTTCGAATCTCACCAGGCTCAAGGTTGACTCAGCCTTCCAGCCTTCCAAGGTAGGTAAAATGAGGACCCGGATTGTGGGGGCAATAAGCTGACTTTGTATAAAAAAGAACACCGCTTAAGGAGGGGGGGCGAAAGCCCTACTAAGCAGGTATATACAAAAGTATGAAGGCTATTGCTTAACGCATTGTAAACCACCCTGAGTCTCCGGAGAAGGGCGGCATATAAATTGAACCAATAAAACAATAATAATAAACAACAGAGGTCCTAGCCGTGGATCTGAAACAAATGAGTGTGTTCCACTTTGTGACTCTGTTGTGAGCACAGGGTGGTGGTGACTGGTTTGGCAGGATAGCTTTTGATCCAACGATGCAGATTAAAAACGAGCAACAGGCCTTATCTTTGCTATTATAATGAATAGGATTAATTGATTCTATGAACTTAATAGGATGATTAAAGGCCTGGAGACTTAAACATATGAAGAAAGGTTGCAGGAACTGGGTATGGCTACTTTAGAGAAGAGAGGATTAGGGGTGGCATGATAGCAGTCTTCCAGTATTTGAGGGGCTGCCACAAAGAGGAGGGGGTCGACTTATTTTCCAAAGCACTGGACAGGGCAAGACAAGAAACGATGGATGGAAACTAACCAAGGAGAGAAGCAACCTGGAATTAAGGAGAAACTTCCTAACAGTGAGGACCATTAACCAACAGCTGGCCTCCAGAAGTTGTGGGTGGAGGTTTTTTAAGAAGAGACTGGACAGTCACGTGTCTCAAACTGTATAGGGTCTCCTGATTGAGCAGGTGGGGTTGGACTAGAAGACCTCCAAGGTCTCTTCCAGCTCTGTTCTGATTGATAATTTCTGCTTATCAAGTGTTTTTCAACCTCGGCGAGTTTTAAGACATGTGGACTTCCACTCCCAGAATTCCCCTGCTGGTTGTGGAATTGTGGGAGCTGAAGTCCACACACAGTCTACGGTTGAGAAATTCTGCCCCCATCTTTCCGTGATAGTAGGAAAAAGACCCCACTGCTACAGATAACACAGGTGGATTACGAGTAAGATAGGTGAAACACCAACTGTTCAAACAGGTTAGCTTCTACCAGCTAAGAGAGAACATACACTAACTGATGGCTGAATGACTTGAAGAAGCTCCTGGCATACTAAATAGGTTTTTCAAACCTATGCACTTAAAAGATAGTGGAAATGCCATCCTGTTAGTTAAAGGAAGGATCTGGGCCAGGGGTGAAATCCAGCAGGTTCTGACAGGTTCGGGAGAACCGGTAGCAGAAATTTTGAGCAGTTCGGAGAACCGGCAAATACCATCTCTCGCTGGCCCCAGAGTGGGGTGGGAATGGGGAATTTGCAGTAACCTTCCCCCTGGAGTGGGGAGGGAATGGGGATTTTGCAGTATCCTTCCCCTGGAGTGGGGGGGGGAATGGGGATTTTGCAGTATCCTTCCCCCTGGAGTGGGGAGGGAATGCAGATCTGGGATTTTAAATTGGAAATGCCGATGATTTAATTTATTTTAGTTTTTTCTTAACTTTTGTACTATATATGTTTTAAGTTTGGCTGTCCACCGCCCTGAGTCCCCCTGGGGAGAAGGGCGGTATATAAGTTGAATTAATAAATAAATACTAATAAATAATGGAGATTTTGCAGTATCCTTCCTCTGCCATGCCTACCAAGCCACACCATGCCCACAGAACCGGTAGTAAAAAAAAAATGTGGATTTCACCGCTGATCTGGGCCTTTTTTTCTGCACGGGAGACCTCAAACAAGGTGTCACCGTTTCCTCAAAAGCCCACCTGTAGCCCGTCAACGAAGTTCTAGAACCAATCTCAAAGCCTAAAGAATGAGAAAGTTGCATTCTTTTTTTTTTTTTTTGGCTCTCTCTTCCCAGAACTTCAAACGAATTACTCAAGACAGCAAGCCCCTCCCCCACTACCGTCTCCTCAACACGTTGCCCTCCAGAAATCTTAGATGACGCTTTCCATAACTAACGTGTCATCCGACGCTTCTGAAGGACATTGCCCGCTGAGGAAGGGCCAAGACGGACAGATACTTGGCATCCGTCGCTGGGTTATGAAATACGTCCTTAATTTTATATCTCTTTCCCCGAGCAAATCCTGCTGATCTCTGGTGGGAGGAGGAGAGGGCAACCCAAGGGATTCGGGAAGACAATTTGTCACCCAGAGGGACGTCTTCCAGCGGGGCTGACAGAGAAAAATCTACATCTCCGTTTGATGAAGTGCCTGCCAAGCTACGTTTTCCCCTGGGTGGGTCAAAGGGCCAGGAAACGAAGCCCAGAAAACAACAGTGGAGTATCAGGTCTTAGGAGATGAATCATTTTAATCTCCTTTGACAACATTGGTTCTTTTGGAGGTTCTCCCTAGCTCATCCTGCAGGATTCTTTTTATACATACATACATATGTGTGTGTGTGTGTGTGTGTGTGTGTGTGTGTGTTTTTCCTCTAGCCAGGTTTTTCCTACGTAACCAAGGTTTTCTGCTGCAGAAAAAACCTTGGTTACGTAGGAAAAACCTGGCTAGAGGAAAAACACACATAAATCCTACGAAGAAGTAAGAAAATATATATATATATATATTCTTACTTATTTATTTATTTTATTTATTTATTTTATTGAATTTCTATACCGCCCTATTCCCGAAGGACTCAGGGCGGTGAACAGCCATAAAATAAAACACATACATATACAAAATTTAAAATCGAATAAAATGAATGAAATAAATTTGGCTGAATTAATACCCATAATTTAAAATCCCCATATTTTAAAATACATTAAAATTTAAAATGTACACTTAAAAGGGAGAAGATTTAGGCGAGGCCAGCTTGATGAAATAAAAGCGTCTTCAGCTCGCGGCGGAAGGTGCGCAGATCCGGGATCCTCCGTATCTCCGGGGGGAGCTCGTTCCAGATCGTCGCTGCCCCCACAGAGAAGGCTCTCCCCCTGGGGGCCGACAGCCGACATTGTTTGGCCGACGGCACCTGGAGGAGCCCCTCTCTGTGGGAGCGTACTGGTCAGTGGGAGGCTATTGGTGGTAGTAGGCGGTCCCGTAAGTAACCAGGTCCTAAGCCATGGAGCGCTTTAAAGGTGGTAACCAGAACCTTGAAGCTTCTTTGTAGGATTTATGTGTGTTTTTCCTCTAGCCAGGGAGACATTTGATATGCCAGTTATATTGTAGGGCCGTGATGGTGAACCTGTAGCACAGGTGGCACAGATGGCACATGGAGCCGTATTACACATGGGTGACCTCACCATGCTCCCCCTGCTTTTGGCACACAACGGCAAAAAGGTTAGCCATCACTGTTGTAGGGGGCTTCCGTCACTGGAGGTTTTCAAGAAGAGATTGGATAGCCGTTTGTCCAAAATGGTGTAGGGCAGTGACGGCGAGCTTTTTCGACACCGAGTGCTCAAACCGGAACGCACATGTATGTGCGTGCATGTGTGCGTGTGCACGTGTCGGAGCGCTGGAAACCTGAAGACCAGCTTGCTGGCGCACGCACGCCTGTTTTTGGGCCATTTTTCAGGCTGTTTTTTCGGCTCACAAAACGGCCTGAAAAAACAGCCCAAAAAGTGGCCTGAAAATGGTCCAAAAAACAGCCTGAAAACGGCCCAAAAAATGGCTTGAAAATAGACTGGAAAACGGCCTGTTTTTTGGGTGTTTTTTGGGGCATTTTCCAGTGCCCGGAAGACCGGGTGGCGACGGTGCATGTGCCCACAGAGAGGGCTTTGTGTGCCACATGTGCCATAGGTTCCCCATCGTGGGTATAGGGTCTCCTGCTTCAGCAAGGGGTTGGACTAGAGCAGGGGTCTGCAGCC